AAAAAAAAAAAAAAAAAAAAATTGGCAACATTTTCTTATCACATTAAAACCTAGATGCTCAGCTTCTCTCGGAAGAATTGAAGCTCGGTGACCCCAAGGCCTCCTTCCCACGTGGCAGGAACGGGTCGTGCGGATGGTGCGTCTCTGCACGGGGTGGCCACCCGCCAGCTCGCCACAGCCCTTACCCAGGAATCATGCTCAAGGAGACGATGCAGGAAATGCCACATGGGAGACATGACCAGGGCAAGGTGTGGGGGTGAGTGGCCAGCCGCTCGCCAAACCGTCCAAGTTTCGGAAGAGCTGGATCTCCAAGATGGCCGAGGGCTGAGAAGGAAGGTCCGCGCCTGCTCTTGCCCCTCCTGAAGCTGAAGCCAAAGCAGGCACCGAGGCCAGGAGGGCAGGAAAGAAAGGTATCCACAGCCGTGAGAAGATCCGTGTGGCACCCAGCTTCCGAGGCCCAAGACACCGTGGCTCCGGGCCAGCCCGAGGCTCCTCGGAAGAGTACCCCTGGGAGAGACAAGCTCCGCCACCGTGCCGTCGTCAAGACTGCCCGGACTCCAAGTCTGCCATGAAGAAAACAGAAGACAGCACACTTGTGTTCACCGTGGATGTTAAAGCCAACAAGCACCAGGTCTAACAGGCTGTGTGGAAGCTCTGTGACGTTGACATGGCCAAGGTCAACACCCTTATGAGGCCTGATGGAGGGAAGAAGGCATGTATTCAGCTGCCTCCTGATTACAACGCTGTGGATATGGCCAATAAAATCAGGATCATCTAAACTGAGTCCAGCTGGCTAATTCTAAACATATCTTTTCTCTCCAATTAAAAAAAAGAAGAAGAAGAAGAAGAAGAAAATCCAGGTATGGTGGCTCACAACTGTAATCTCAGCACTTTGGGAGACTGAGGCGAGAGCAGTGCTTGAGCCCAGGAATTCAAGATCACCCTAGGCAACATAGTGAGACCTTGTCTCTAAAAATAAAATTAATTAAAGAAAGAAAGAGCTCAATCTCCAGGTCCCCCATGCCTAAGAGGTCAAAGCAGGCTGCAAGTTCCCACCCTCTGGGCACCTGGTCTTTCTGTGATCAGCCCCATCCCCAGGCTAGCTGGGGGCACCACTGTAAGTACCTTCATAGCATAAATTCAGGTAGCATCAAAAGGGGTTTACTATGAGTAAGAAAAGATACTCCTGTCACTCTGCAAAGTCCAGGAGTTTTAGGAGCCTTGTATCAGGAGCTTGAGACAGAGACCAAATGTTTCTTCTTCCCCGCTACATGCCCTACCTTCAGTTCTCCAGCGAGCATAAGTCTACTCATTCTTTACATTCCACCATCAATTTCTACTAAACTGCCCCAAATAAAAATTGCTCCTACTGGGCAGTTTTGCGGTGTGAGCTCGCAGGCAGGGCAATGCCAGCCCTGCATGCCTGTGACTGTCAGATCAAAGGGCAGCACGGCCCCTTCCTCTGGGTGGTGGGACAGTCAAGGAGCTGAGTGATGCCGGCTCAGCCCTGGCACCTCCACATCTCCGTTCTGGGCCAGAGAAACATTAATAAACCTCCGACAAGCCGGGCTCGGTGGCTCAGCCTGTAATCCCGCGCCTTTGGGAGGCTGAGGTGAGAGGATTGCCTGACCCCACGGGTTCGAGACCCGCCTGGGTGGCGAGACCTCAGCTCTACAATAAATCAAAAAATCAGCCGGGCGTGGTAGCGCGCGCCTGTAATTCCGGCTACTCGGAAGGCTGAGGCGGAAGGATCGCCGGAGCCCAGCAGGCGAGGCTGCGGTGGCCGGGAGCGGCCGCTGCACTCCAGTCTGGGCGACCGAATGAGACTCCAATCCCAAAAATAAAACAAAATAGAATAAACCTCCGACAACATGGACTGTCTCCTTGTCGCCCCCACCCCCAGGTGGAAGGTCGGCAAGAGCAGCGCTGATAGCTCCTGGGGTGGAAGCCTGCGGAAGGAGAGGCATATCCACGTCAAGCTCTGGTCAGGTGCCAAAGCCAAACATCAGGCCCTGCGGCTGCAGGCACCCCCAGAACAGGGTGTGAAAAACAGCCAAGGGCAGCTTTTGTCCAAATTCCTGAGAGGCTGGGGGAGTCACACCTGTCTTTTTACCCCATCACCCTGTATACTGAAGTTTGTGTTCCAACCTGACTAGTGCTGAAGAAGGGAATCAAGGTATTTTATGACCCCGCAAAGCCCTCTCCGGGGCACCTTGGAAGACACTCACCTATTCTGAAGTCACCTATGAAACTTCACCTACATTTCAAGAAAGCTGAAGTCTCCCCTGTCTCAGCAGGACACTGCCACTGATTTCCAGACCCCTTGGACAGGAGCTACACATTGCCAGTCAGGAAACCTTTGAATCCACCTGTAACCTGCGCGCTCCTGCTTGGAGATGGCCCACCTTCTTGGGCCAAACCAAGGTAAACCTCACATGTTGGTAACTTTGGCCTCCCTAATGTATATAACCTAACGGCAATTCAGCCACCTCAGACATGCTCTCAAGACCTCCTGGGGCCGTGTCCAGGCCTTGCCACTCACATTTGGCTCAGAATAAACCTCTTCAAGACTATCTGGCTGAACTTGGAACTTCTGCATCATCCCTAGTACCCGCACCCCTGCACCGCCTGGAACAGTGCCTGTGAGCGTGGGGAAACATCAACTCAAACCGTGCTCTCCTCCCCTCTCAACAGCAGTCCACGCAAGGGACTTCTGTGGCCAAATGTGTGTTTCCCCAAACACCAAGCAAGCAATCAGTTCTGCAGGGACACCTGCCTGGGGTCCTTCCAACTCACTTCTGCCCGGAAACAGAAGCCACAAGTGGAGGGCTGGGTCCCCAAGACCACCCCCTCCTTCACCCGGTTGCAGTTCAGGTCCAGGTGACTGAACTCAAGTCAGAGTTCCCACCGCCCCCTCTTGGGGTTCAACTTGCCAGAGTGGTTCACAGAACTCAGGGACACTTACTTACATTTACACGTTTATCACAAAGGTTATTTTAAAGGATACGAATAAACAACCCAACGAAGAGATATATAGGTGCAGTCTGGAGGGGTCCCGAGGGGGTGCAGAGGTCCCTGCTGCCATGGAGCTGGGTGCGCCACCCTCCCAGCGTGTGGGCGAGTGTTCACCTTCCTGTCTGCGTCCACGTATGCAGCTCCTTGACTGGCGACTCCTTGGGCCTTCGATGGAGACTCCACCGGATGGGCATGACTGAGCATGGACAACTGGGCTGAGATGAGATGGGAGTCTGCGCCCTGAGGCCTGCAGTGCCCCAACATTAGGCTAGAAACTGGACAAAAACCCACACACAAAAATGGATGCAGCTCCAGGCAGCTGAGCGTCTGGGCCCTGCTTCTTGCATGGGTCACAGATGCAGCAGGACTGCAGGTATTGTCCAAGGTCTCCACACAAGTCAAGGCCAACCAGGATTTCACGGTACCAGGCCTAGGGTGGAAGGTGGGGCACGTCAAGGCTGATGTCTAAGACCAGAGTCCCTCCCACTAAGGGCTGGGCAAGGACAGAATGACAGGAGAGGTGATCAGTAACCACATATGGCTGTTTATTTCATACAGGGCCCTGTACAAAATATGTACACATATTCTTTACAGAATAAGTAAACCACCTGAAGGTAACCAGACGACGCTTTCCTCTTGATAGCTCAGAGAATACTGGTGTCAGCAGAACTATACAATGAACAAAAGTTGCCACAGGCCACAGGACAAGTAGACGACACTTGCTGCCTGGGATTCCACAGCCACGGCCTTGGGACCCTGACCGCGGGACCTTTCCTTTTCCCATCAAGGCCTTCGGTGTCTGCAACGGCTTGAGTGTTCGTGGCAGGAGGGGCAGGGGCTGCTGCCTGGAAGAACAAGGAACACTGGGAGTGTCTGCCACTTCACCACCTGGGGGCCTGGCGGCACCTCCTTTGTCCTGATGAATCCATCCACGTCACACTCACACAGGTGGGCTCCTCCGTGGAGAACGACTCAACACTCTTGAGCTTTTTTGGTTGTAAAGTGCTTAGCGTAACTCGGACATTCTCCCCCGCACACATGGGCACACGAGGAGCCCGCAAGGTCTGGACACGGTGGAGGGAGTGCTTCTGGCTTATTCACATTCAGAAACACCCGCCGAGAGAGAACAGTGCCCAGGAAAATAGGAGTATGTGGCTGCTTCCTGTTGTGCTCCCCAAGTCTTTAAAGCAGCAAAAGGCACTTTTTGTTCAAGCCAGAATCCATCAAAAACAAACCCAGCTTCGCTTACAGGAACCTGTCCCAGACGGACTGAGCGAACCCCCATTTCCCAGGGCCTGGAGAGCTCCTGAGAAGCTAGGGCCAGGGCTGGCTGCTCCAGGTTCCTGCCAAGCTCTTCAGGCCACAGCTTCCCCCATTCTGTGTGCCAGCAAGTTTCCAATGACACTTCCAATCAGGCAGGACCAGCAGCTGGGGAGATAAACCAGACCCCCAAACCACGTGAAGACAGTGAGTGGGTGCCTATTTGGGGGAGGCAGGGTGATTGGAGAAAAACAGGAAGGCAGGAAAGCCAGTCCAAAAGTGGGTGCTTTGGAAGGGCAGGGCTGGTTACAGACAGCAGCTTGGCTAAAGTGAGTAGAAAGCGAACTTCAGGAACTCTGAAGCTCATCCTTCTGATGAGAAATGTTTTTTCCATGAAGGAACTATTGTTGTTGTTTTCAAATGAGGGTATTTCACATGTTGTGTGTATGTACCCTAAAAATAGCAATAAAATTATTTTTTATCAGCAATGTTGTGTGGCTTGAAGAGAAGATGGAAAAACAAAGGCAGACGAAACTGGTTTGGGGCTAGGCCCTGAAAATGAACATTCTTTCCCACTTGACTAGAAATGCCCACTGGATTTCTGGGCTAAAAATCGGTAGATTCACTGGTTGCCTTGTTCACATCTACCCCTGACTTCTGGTCCACTGATGAATCCCCAGTAAGAGGCTGGCCATGTCCCTCGGCCTCCTGTTTTCAGTTTACAACCAGCATCCCCAGCAGCTCCTTCCTCCTTGGTCCGTCTGAAGCAGACAGAACAGGAACGTGAGGAGGGAGGGCATCCTGCAGTCCAGTTTACTTTCTACTGGGTGGCCAGGAGGCTCCTCAGTAACCAGGGTACCAGGCCCAGCAGGTTCCAGAGGCAGCCAGGAGCCAAAGAAACAACTTCATCCCACACAAGGGGAGGCGGCAGACAACACACCAGAATCCCCCAGGGGGGTGAGAATTCTGTGCCAGCCCCCACATGCCCTCTGTGTCAGGTAGGCTCTGCACTGACCTCCAAGGCAAAGGCCCACACGGACAGACAGGGCAGGGTGGCAGGAACAGGAAACCCTTTTAATAAAGGAAATTCTACCCTCCTAATCCTTCCATGGAAGGGAAGACCTTCACACGACAGAAGAGGAAGTGTTTCCTCTGGCTTTCAGGGAAACAGCTGCAGCTGGAACTTGGGGGCCCACTCCAGGGCGCTCTTCACCACAGCCAATGCAGCCGCTCCGAGCGCCACCGTCAGCCCCATCACTGCCAGTTTCACAAAACGGTTGGTCCTTGGTTTGGTCAGGACATCTTTTGCTCGGTCCTCAGGCCGCAGGAGTCCCCGAAACCGCTGCCGCAGCACCATGTCAGGCCTCTGCTGGGCTGAAGCCAGCTCAAAGTCTTTGAAGGTCGAGGCCGCTGTCCTGCAGGGAAAGGAGACAAGGGAATGGTATGAAAGAAGGAAGGGAAATCTACACTAAGCAGGCCGAGGGCAGAGCCATCCACTGTCAGAGAGCTCTTCCTGATAGATCCACATAGATTCACGGTGGGGACTCTGCAGGCAAAGTCAGGTCCTGGCAACATGCCTCTCGCGCCAGCAGACATGACCTGCCTGGCTTCTGCTTGCTGACAGCCGCCCTGTGAACCTGGTGCCTCACTCACCGCTCGGCCTGCTGCTGGGCGGCTGCCTCCCGGGCAAGCTCAGACGGGGGGAACTGAACAAAGAGGTCTCCGGCCCTGCTGATGAGCCTCTCATAGGGCAGGTCCTGAGGGATCTGGGACAGCAGGTGGTGGACCGAGGCCATGTCACAGTCACATTCCAGGACTTCCTGCTCGCGATGCAGCACGATCTGAGGGGAGAATAAGGCCTTGTGTCAGAGATCAGACACAGATGCGGGCCACATGCACTCCCTTCTCCTTCGAGAGGAATCTGAGCTGGTAACAGACCAGACTCAGCCCACAGGGTCAGGGAGCTCTTGCATCCATAGAGGAAGAGGCAAACTTCCACCCCATGATGGCCAGCTACAATCTAAGTCTTTCCAGGGACATCTGTCTACTCAGCTGCCCCTCGAAGACTTGAAAGAAATGAAGGAGATTTTTTAGGAGGAAGAAAAGCAGAGGGATTCCTGGGAGGTTCCCGGAGTTCCAGCACAGAAGAAATGGTTCAAAGCGGCAGAGAAAATGTGTGCTCCCTTGAGCATCTCCCGCTACTGCTGGAACACAGATCCAAAGCTGCTGGAAGGATCCAGGCCCTCCATTAACTGGAGCCCCACCCTCCACCAGCCACCTCCCTATCACACCAGTCCTCTTCTTTTTTTTTCTTTGAGTCAGTCTCACTCTGTCACCCAGGCTGGAGTGCAGTGGCATGTTCACGGCCACTGCAGTCTCGACCTGCTGGGCTCAGGTGATCCTCCAGTCTCAGTCTTCCAAGTAACTGAAACTATAGGCCTACACCACCACACCAGGCTAATTTTTTGATTTATTGTAGAGATGAGGTCTCACCATGCTGCCCAGGCTGGTCTCAAACCCGAGGGCTCAGGCAATCCTCTCAGCTCAGCTTCCCAAAGTGCTAAAATTATAGGCATGAGCCACCACGCTTGGCTCCTCTTCTTTTCTTAAACCTGGAGTCGGCAGGGTGCACTACTGACTGGTCCCTACTTGTGTCCATCAGCAGAACACATTCCAGAACATATTCCAGGCAATGTCAGCAGGTCACCCTGACAATTCACCATGCAAACAAGCAATCTGAAGTTTAGAACAGTCACCCAGTGAAGAAACGGGTGGGACTGTGTTTAGCCAGCATTTTTCCCATGACGCCCCCACTAACGCTGCACAGTGTCCAGGGACACCAGTCTTGGAACAACTGTCTTTTGCGTCTTTCCTTAAGTCCAGGTTGCCTCTCAGGGAAATGACCACGTGGGATGTAGACGGTGAGCCTAGTTGCTGACTCATGGCCTCTACCTACCACAGCTGCAAAGTAAATGGGCATCAGCGGGTGGCAGGCCAGGAAGAAGTCGTACAACCGCACGACGTGCCTGAAGTCACACAGGACGTGTCCAAACCAGGTGATGAGCCAGCTGAGGGCAAAGATGGTCCCCACCTCAGCGCTAGGAACAAAGGAAACGCAGACATTAGGCACCCACTGGGTCAGCCCTTCCCTCTCTGGCTTCCTTTGTCCTCAATGCTGGTGAAAGGAAACATTTAGGAAATATGCTTTGTGGAAAATTTGGCTACCTAGGAATTCAGTATCTTCTACTCACAAAATACAGTCTTTAAAATGTACTATGGCCAGGCACAGTGGTTCACACTTGTCATCCCAGCACTTTGGGAGGCAGAGGCAAGAGGACTGCCTGAGCCCAGGGGTTTGAGACCAGTCTGGGCAAGCTGGCGAGCTCTCATCTCTACAATTAAAAAAAAAAAAAAATTAGCCGGGCATGGCAGTGCGTGCCTGTAGTTCCAGCTACTTGGAAGGCTGAGGTGGAAAGACTGCCTGAGCCCAGCGGGTTGAAGCTGCTGTGGCCCTGAGCAGCGTGCCACTGCACTCCAGTCTGGGTGACAGAATGAGACTCCAACTCAAAAAAGAAAATGTGCCATGACACAAATACCCCACCAACAGGGCCTGGCTATTTCATTTCACCAGGTGTTCTCTTAATGGTCAACACATGTCAAATACAGGGAAGAGAAACAGTTGTTTTCAGAGCATTACATTGTGATTTTCCTTCTGAGAACATCTTTACCTTTTGGGGGGTACAGGCAGATATTCCCAGACCTGAAAACATGACTGTGTTAATTTTTCAGTGAGCATAAGACCACTGAAATGTCTTCAGACACAGCTATTATTTAAAAAAACATTTTTTTTTTGAAGTGAGACATTTCCAACTAAGCAGAGGAGAAAACGGAAACATCACATAAGATCTGCATTCCTTCTCTTCCTGGATCCCACAGGACTCTGTACCTCTCTTGTGGTCATAACCTCCAAGTCTACCTTGGCATGCCCACCTTATCTATCTCTCCGCACTAGATGTAAACTCCTCAAGACATAGGCTGTGTTCTCAAAAGAGCAAAGTACCCCAAAGTGCTCTAAGACTGTGTACAGAACTGAGCAACTCTGAGGAACTTAACACTAATCCACATGAGATGATGACAAAATTGAGCTAGACTGGTGGGGAAGAAACAAAAGCTCCAAGGTAAAGGTATAGAGATGTGTGTGTCTGTGTGTTGCAAGCGTGTTTGTCTCTGTGTGTGTGCGCGCGTGTGTGTGCACAGAAATGCAGACACATATATATACCTCTGCATGAAGTCATGGAGTTCTGGATTCACCTGGTCAATGATGGGCATCAGATAGTTTAATATGTGCTTGGTGTTGTCCATTGTTGGATCCATAAAGTCCCTGGAGGGAGACAATTCAATGAGCATGGTCAGACCAAAGACATCAGGGCCGGTGGGTGAATGAGGCTCATCCCATTAAGAAAACCGACCAGGAAACGAGCCGCTAAGTGATCCCCAGGGGGCTGGAGGAGCACCCCATCCTCCCATGCTCCTCTGCACTGGTACCTGAGGTGGTGGGTAGACAATTTCTCTACCAGGGATGTTGCCAGCTTCTCGCCAACTACCAGTAGAAACGTGACCACGATGTCATGGTAGCCCTGGTAGTAATGCAGCTGAGGGTTGCGCTCCAGGATGAGGAGGATGATGTCAATCAGTTCTTCCTGGAGCCCTTCTCTCTGCTCTTCTGGCATGCCTGGGGGAAGAGGGGAGAGGAGACACATCTGAACATGCAACACAGCCTAGCAACCAGGAGCTCAGGAAGAAGGCAGCAGTGGATCTTCAGAGAAAGTGAAATAGAGGAAACGTGTTCCTAGTTACTATGGATATTCTTTTCAGAAAAGACATTCCTTCCTTTCAGGACACTGCAGGGAAACTCAGTCTATACCTTTTTTCTTAAAAGGAGAATGGATAGCATTGTAACGCAGCTCACAATGTTCTAGAATGTATAAACATTTCACTCTTGTAGTAGAGCAGGAAAGACCCCATTTCTCCAGACACTCACTTGTCTCAGGGTGGAGGTGTCCTGGAAGGTACTTCATTCATCTTCTGTTATCATTACTTGGGATGTGTTCTCTGAAAACCTGTTAGATTCCTCTCACTAATATTTTCAAAGTAGAGAGTTAAGTGAATCCCAGACTAGAATTTAATCCACTTGTGGAGATGGTTTTTTAAAAAATCTTAATTGACAATGGTATTTTTTTTATACTTAACCCTGGATGTGGTGGGAAATTATGCTGTTTAGTAATAGTAATGTATGTGACCAATGTCAAAAGGTAAATAAAACAGTCTTATTAAAAATCTAGATTTTTTTCCTGTATGAAAACCTATTTTCAATATATATTTTAGGCCAAAGCCAGTATAAAAAAAAAGGAAAAAAAACTCTTAAGAAGTAAACGTCAGGCCGGGCTCAGTGCCTCAGCCTGTAATCCTGTGCTTTGGGAGGCCGAGGTGAGTGGATTGCCTGAGCCCGCAGGTTTGAGACCCGCCTGGGCAACTTGGCGAGACCTCATTTCTACAATAAATCAAAAATCAGCTGGGTGTGGTAGTGCGCATCTGTAATTCCGGTTACTTGGAAGGCTGAAGGGGAGCCCAGCGGGTCGAGGCCGGAGCCCAGCGGGTCGAGGCCGCAGTGGCCGGGAGCGGCCACTGCACTCCAGTCTGGGTGACGGAGTGAAATGCCAACTCAAAAAAAAAAAAAAGAAATAAACGTCTAGCATACCTCATCAACAAGGGTACCTGCATAATCAACATTTGCATACCTAACCCTGAATTGTACCCCACATCTTTATTTTTTTATTTTTCTGAGTTGGAGTCTCACTCCTTCGCCCAGGCTGGAGTGCAGTGGCACGCACGCTCATGGTCACCCCAGCGTCAGCCTGCTGGGTTCCAGTGGTCCTTCTGCCTCAGTCTTCCGAGTAGCCGGAACTACAGATGCACATTACCATGCCCGGCTATTTTGTATTTTATTGTAGAGACAAGGTCTTGTCCAGTTGCCGGGGCTGGACCAATCACACCTTTATAACAAAAAAATAATAATAAAAAATAAAATAATATGAAAAAAAGAAATAAACGTCTTTTAGCATAAAAAATAAGAAGAAACTTGTTCTAAGCAGATCCATTGCAGATACCACCTGGCATGTAGGAAAGGGGGAGACCTGGCGACACTGCCTTAAGGAGTCATCAGTGCACACTGCTGGTGATGGGAGCACGCACTGACATGCAGCACAACCAGAGCTCAGCATCACTGGGTCTGCAGAATTCCTACCAGTAATGCAGAGGCTGAATCTTGTAATGAGGAAATACCAGGTAAACGCAAAGTAAGGAACACTTAACAAAATACCCAGCCTGTCCTAAAATACAAAGGAACCATTCCAGATCAAAGAAGCCTAAGAGATGGGATGACTGAACAAAACAGGCAGGCATCTGTGTTTCCTTTTCCTGCATGGGGCAAATCTCGGAGAAATGGTGAAATCTGAATCAAATCTGTGGATTAATTAACAGTAGTTTTCAATGTTGTTACTTCTTATGGTAAGTGCACTGTGATTATGTAAGAGCCTCATTTTTAGAAAATACAACTTGAAATATTTAGGGGTGAGGAGTATCAGGTTTGTAATTTATTCTTAAATGGTTCAGAAAAAATATGTCTGTGTTTAAGGCAAAGGAGAGAGAGAAAGCAGTTAATGAAGGAATGGTAGTAAAACGTTAACATGTAAGGGAATCTGGGTAAAAGGCGTCTAGGGAATTCTCTGTCCTATTTTTGCAACTTTTCAGTAAGTATCAAATTATATTTTACAAGTTCTCCTCTAAATCAGACCACACATTATGGAAAAGACTGATCCCTTGCTCCGAGGAGGCAGTTGGAAAAGGGGGCCTGGAACGAGAGTGCCTGCAGAGAGGGTCCTGCCCAGCCTGCACGGCATGGCTTAGCTGGGTCTCAGTGTGAGGAAGCCCCACTGCGGCCGGTGAACTGCCAAGAGGAGTGGCACATGGCACAGCTCTCCCATATCACTAGCTTTTAGTTAATAACACGCTGTGAGAGAAAACAGATCACGCAAGGGCCCAGACTAAACTGGACAGGGCTGAAGATAAGAGCAAAGCTCACCTCTTGCCATAGATACCCCACCCCTTCTAAAAATGGCAGACCTGGGCTGGGCAGGGTGCCTCATGCCTGTAATTCCAGCATTTTGGGAGGTCAAGGCGGGAGGATTGTTGGGGTTTATGAGTTCAAGACCAGTCCAGGCAACATGAGACCTTGTCTCTACAAAAAGTTTTTTTTAAAGTTAGCCAGGAGTAGTAGCACATGCCTATAGTCCCAGTTACTTAGGAGGCTGAGGTAGAAGGACTGCCTGAGCCCAGGAGGTTGAGGCTGTGGTGAGCTGTGATCATGCCACCGCACTCCAGCCTGGACAATAGAGTGAGATCCCAAAACATACACACACACACACACACACACACACACACACACACACACGGCATATCCTAAAAGATAAAATAAGAAAATGAAGTAAACCAAACCAAACACTACCGATATGTAAAGAAATTAAAGTAGTGAGAGTAAAAACTAAACCCTGTTTGACTTTTCAGTGTAAGAGTGGTCAGTCAAGCCTAGAAGAACACGAATGGAAAAAGAATATAAACCCACACGGAAAGTACAGCCTTCAGAAAGAATACCACAGATTCCACATACATGGAAGAGGGGAAGAAAGGGTTCTGAGGGAAAATGGGCTACCTAGGAAAAAATGGAAGGCAACTGTCTTGAGTGAGCTCATCACACCAGCAGGACAGGAAATGGGGGCTGTACGAGGAGCACAGGTTTTTATCAGAACCAAGCTGACAGGCCACTGGCTATGTGGGACTAACAAGAGCCCCTGCAAGGAGCCGGGCACAGGCAGAAGAAAGGGTCTTTAAGAGACCCAAAGCAGTGCCAAGACTGATGCCCTAGGATAGGAGGCTCGCAGCCCCTCGAGCAATTCCCTTCTTCCTGGACTTGAAGGTGGACTTGCTAGAGGAAGAAAGACAGGTCATACATGTGAGGTCTTTGCCTGGTTTCCTCCATGTGAAAATGCAGACAATAGTTCTTTTTCTTCCTGGGAACGAGGAGGCAGTTTTAGGGATACACCCTTGAAACACGTGGCGACTGGCCTCCTTTCCAGGCTGAGGATCCCTACAAGAATATATGCAAGGTACCACTATTTTTAAACCTAATTAAATTAAGATATTAATAGTTCTTGTTAGGGCCCAATTCAAGCCAGTCTGCTCCCTACAGCCAGACTGATGGCTCTAACAATCCTCAAACTCCTTTCTGTAGCTTGAAGGAAAACAAAAACCCAGAAACCCCTTCTCTCATTCACCACCTCTGGGCCAGGAGGAACCATTTATGGTTCAGGCTTTGCAGTGGGGTCTGGGAGTGATCAGTCCACCAAAGAACGACTCAGCAAACTGAGTACTCTGGTCCCCGAGGAGGAGGGTCTTGCGTGTCAGGTCACACTGTGTGTAAGACTCCTGGGATGGCAAGCACCCACACAAAGGGCACCCGGGACAGACACCCCATTTCACATGTGGCGATGAAGAGCGCTGCTCACCAGGAGGAAAGCGCCGCAGAGACCGCCGGACATCTAGCAGCACCTGTTGGTAGTCCTTGCTCACCTGCCGGAGGTTCTTCCCTGTCGGGGAAAAGAAACATGTGATCCAGGCACGTCTGAGACGCCAGATCAGAAGCAAAGCGCTCTGGGATGACACCAGAAGCCTGAGGACCCAAGTCAGCTTCTTGCAAAGGACACAACTCAAGACGCAGCATGTGGAGGGGACCCTTTAGTCTAGTTCCAGCCATGTGACATTTCACACTCATCACGACCCCAAGAGGAGGGAACACAGCTTGCCCAGGAGACACTACAGCAAGTGGGGAGAGCAGCAGGGCTGGTTCGAGCCTCGTATGGCTCTGCACAGGACCAGGAGCTGCTCTGAATTGCAATGCACACAGGTGGATAGTAAGGACAGTCTCTTGTACACGTTCCTCTCAAGTTACCACAAGGACCACACACAATCAAGACTGTGGAAACCACAGATCACAGAAAACACCCTTACATCTGTAAAGTTGTGGGAGCACTACATTGCTCAGAAAGGAGTAATTAAGAAAGACTCATATATATGGCCGGGTGCAGTGGCTCACCCCTGTAATCCCAGCACTCTGAGAGGATGGGGTGGGAGGATCACTTGAGCCCAGGAGTTTGAGATGAGTCTGGACAACATAGCAAGAGCCCATCTCTAAAAATAATAAAATAAAAATAAAGACTCTTATAAAGAAAAACCTAGCATCTCTTGGCAAAAAAATTCTAAAACAAAGACCCTGCAACTAGGAAGCAGTCCTTGTGTTCAGCTAAGCCCCACAGAGTATGAAAGAGAGGCAGCAGTTTCAAGCTGTCATGTATATAACAAGTGACACTTCCCACAGCCCCGTCAGGTGCTATGTAGTAAGTGTACATTTCCCTTACAACCCGATCAAAAGCTGTCGGAGGAGCCTGGGTAATACTTCCTCACACACAGATGTTATCTTACATAGAGACATGGGAAGTCTGGAATCTGAGAGAGAAACATCACCTCAGGGCTGAGAGTGTGAGCACGGCAATGCCTTTGCCTTCCAACCAAAAGCTGACTGCTCTGCGGACGCCAGCCCCAAGCATGACAGCACATGGCAACTCAATGGCTCCGGCAATACCATGACGCTGTGCGCCTCCTAGTGGTCCAGGCCCTGTTTTATTATCCCCAGGACCTGGCACACAATATCTGCTTTGTGCAAATGACTAATATCTGCTTTGTGTGAAGGAAACCTCACACAAGGTACTTTGCCACAATAGCAGGAGAGCAATCAGGTGAATGAGCTGAGTGATGATCAACGGACAACTCACTGCTCTGCAGTACTTTCTTTTTTTTGAGTTGGAGTCTCACCCCATTGCCCACTGCTGGAGTGCAGTGACATACTCACGGACACCTCAGCATTGACCTGCTGGGGCCGGGCGATCCCTCTGCCTCAGTCTTTCAAGCAGCCGGAACTACAGGCATGCACTACCGTGCCCAGCTATGCAGTACTTTCTCTTTTTTTGTTGAGTTGGAGTCTCACTGTCGCCCAGACTGGAGTGCGGTGGCTGGGAGCTTCAACCTGCTGGGCTCCAGCGATCCTTCCGCCTCAGCCTTCTGAGTTGCTGGAACTACAGGTGCGCGCTACCACGCCCGGCTGATTTTTTGATTTATTGTAGAGATGAGGTCTCGCTGCCCAGGTGGGTCTTGAACCCACGGGCTCAGGCAATCCACTCAACTCAACCTCCCAAAGGCGTGGGATTCCAGGCTGAGCCACCGAGCCCAGTTGCAAGTACTTTCTTGAACTGAGTTCCAAGGAACTCCTTTTACCACACAAGTATTGCAAACTAGTCAGGTAACAGTTTTTCACAGAATTACAGAATTTTAGAACACCAAAGGATCTTAGTATTTTCCAATAAAAAGGATAGTTTTATTTTTCTTTTTAAAATTTAATGTTATTTTTATAGACAGGGTCACACTATGTTGCCCAGGCTGGCTACATACTCCTGGGATCGAGCGATCCTCCCACCTAAGCCTCCAGAGTAGCTAGGACAAGTGTACATCACCATGCTCTTTTTTTTTTTTTAAGGATCATAAGGTATCATCTCTCCCTGTAGTCCAGTGTTTCTCAAAATGTGGTTCACTTGCATCAGAATCAGCTGGGGTACTTGTTAAAATACAGATTCCTATAATACCAGCATTTTGAGAGGCTGAAGAGGGAGGACCACATAAGGTCAGAAATTCAATACCAGCCTAGGCAACATAGCAAGATTCTGTCTCTACAAAATTTTTTTTAAAAATTAAAAATTAAAATTCCTACAACTCACCTCCAACCAAGTAAATTCTAGACTAGAATATGACTTTTTTTTTTTTTAAGAAGAGACAAGGTCTTGCTCTGTTGCCCAGGTTGAAGTGCAGTGACACAATCATGGCTTCACTGTAGCCTCAAACTCCTGTGCTCAAGCAATCCTTTCGCCTCAACCTTCTGAGTAGCTGGGACTACAGGTGGGTACCACCATGCCTAGATAATTTTTTAATTGTTTTTTTTTGAGTTGGAGTCTCACTCTGTCACCCAGGCTAGAGTGCAGTGGCACACTCATGGCCACTCCAGCGTCGACCTGCTGGGTTCCAGCGATCCTTTCGCTTCAGCCTTCCAAGTAGCCAGAACTACGGGCGTGCGTAACCACGCTCGGCTACTTTTTAATTTATTGTAGAGACAAGGTCTCGCCAAGTTGCCTGGGCTGGTCTTGGCCTCCCAAAGTGCTGGGATGACAGGCTGAGCCACCAAGCCCGGACTTTAATTGTTTTATAGAGACAAGTTCTTGCTATGTTGTCCAGGCTAGTCTAGAAATCCTGGCCTTAAGCAGTCCTCCCACATCAGCTTCCCAAAGCACTGGGATTACAGGCAGGAGCCACCCTACCCAGTCACAGAACACACATTAATTTAACAGACTCTCCTGACTCACTAATATTTTAATCCCTAGTAAAAGCTCATTCCGGCCGAGTGTGGTGGCTCAAGCCTGTATAATTCCAGCACTTTGGGAGGCCGAGGCAAGAGGATTGCCTGAGCTCAGGGGTTTAAGAGCAGCCTGGGCAACTTGGTGAGATCTCATCTCTACAAGAAATAAAAAAATAAGCCAGGAGTGGTAACGCACACCTGTATAGTTCCAGCTATTTGGAAGGCTGAAGTGGAAGGATTGCCTGAGCCCAGCAGGTCAAGGCTGTGATGGCGTGAGTGTGCCACTGCATTCCCGCCTGGGTGACAGAGTAAGATTCCAACTCCAAAAAAATCAAATACAAACAAAAAAACTCATTCCATTTTTGAGTAAAATTCTACTTAGAAGCTTGCCTTATTTTCACAGTGGGTCCAGGCATTTCCCGCTCATTTAATCTAAGTTCAAATAAGCATAGAAATAAAAGCTCCTGGGAGTACCTCCTCCCTGTCCCCCAGCTGGCTCCCTTGCAGCCCCTCTGCCCTTACCTGACGTCGGCGGGGGGTCGCTGGCGTTGATGTTGAGAAGCTTGGGCCATACCTTCTGCCTGATCTCATCTGTCAGGAGTCCTCCCTCACTGATGGCCATGCGCCGCAGGGCAGCCACGTCGGTGGGGTCACTGTTCAGAGCCTGGTGGATCTCTGCCACTTTCTTTTTCCTCTTGGCGTTGAAGTCTGCCAGCAAGGGTGGAGAAGCATCAGGCACACATTCAGCAGGTCTGTGTTTTCTGCTTAGAGCTCAATCTCCTGTTTTGTTTGAGGTACAGGTATCTTTTCTTACCCAGCCCTAAGTTTGCCTGCTGGCATAAAGTCTCAGTCTTTTTTTTAAATTTTTTGAGTTGGAGTCTCACTCTGTCGCCCAGACTGGAGTGCAGTGGCTGCTCCCGGCCACCGCAGCCTTGACCTGCTGGGCTCCGGCGATCCTTCCGCCTCAGCCTTCCAAGTAGCTGGAACTACAGACGTGCGCTACCACGCCTGGCTAATTTTTGATTTATTGTAGAGATGAGGTCTCACCAAGTTGCCCAGGCGGGTCTCGAACTTGCGGGCTCAGGCAATCCACTCACCTCAGCCTCCCAAGGCGTGGGATTACAGGCTGAGCCACCGAGGCCGGCAAGTCTCAGTCTTTTGCACTAGTAATTTCAGCCCCAGTCCACTTAACCTCATGGGGCATAGGGTGGAGAGTTCATTATAAAATAGTTTTTTTAAAGACAAGGTCTCATCACTGTCACCCAGGCTGGGATAGGGTGGTACCATCATAGCTCACTGCAGACTTGAACTCCTGGCCTCAAGCAATCCTGACTCGGCCTCCCAAAATGCTGGGATTACCGGCATAAACTAGTATACCCAGTCAAAATAGATTTTTTTTGAGTCAAGGTCTCACTCTGTTGCCCAGGCTGGAGTGCAGTGGTATGATCATGGCTCACTACAGCCTTGACTCCTAGGCTCAAGCTATCTTCCCTACTCAGCCTCCCAAGTAGCTGGGATTACATGCATATGCCACGGCACTTGGCTAATTTTTTGGGTTTTTTTGTAGAGATAAGATCTCACTATGTTGCCCAGGTTGGTGTCGAACTCCTGGGCTAAAGCAATTCTCCTACCCCAGCCTCCCAAGAAGCTGGGACTACAGGCACATACCATCATGCCTGGCCCAGAAATAATTGTTTTTTATTTATTTATTTATTTATTTTTAATTTTTTTATTTTTTGAGTTGGAGTCTTACTTGTCACCCAGACTGGAGTGCAGTGGCCACTCCTGGCCACTGCAACCTCGACTTACTGGGCTCTAGCGATCCTTCTACCTCAGCCTTCCAAGTAGCCAGAACTACAGACGTGCGCTACCATGCCCAGCTAATTTTTTTTGATTTATTGTAGAGATGAGGTCTCACCAAGTTGCCCAGGCAGGTCTCGAACCTGCGGGCTCAGGCAATTCACTCACCTCGGCCTCCCAAAGTGCAGGATTACAGGCTAAGCCACCGAGCCTGGCAATAATTGTTTTTTAAAGAAGAAATATGTAGTGAAAAAAGGGATGTGTTAAAATCAGGCAGATCTTGATTCACATCCTGGTTCTGCCACTTATCTGATCTATAATCTTGGGTAGATTACTTCAGCTCTGGGCCTCTGGACTGACACTCTCTTATCTGGATAGTTAACACAGTACACTTACTAAATATCAGATCCCCTCCTTACTCCAAAATAGATTTTAAAATCAACCTACAGGTTGGGCGCAGTGACTCATGCCTGTAATCCTAGCACTTTGGGAGGCCAAGGCGGGATGACTGCTTAAGCCCAGGGTTTGAAAACAGCCTGGGCAACATAGCAAGACCATGTCTTACAAAAAATTATATGGGTAGAGTGGTGTGCACCTGTAGTCACAGCTACTTGAGAGGTTGAGGTGGAAGGAGTACTTGAGCCCAGGAGGTTGAAGCTGCGGTGGGCCAAGAGTGTGCCACTGTACTACAGACTGGGTGACAGAGTAAGACCTCAACTCATAAAAATAAAATAAAATCGCTGGGCTCGGCGGCTCAACCTGGAATCCCGTGCCTTTGGGAGGCTGAGGTGAGTGGATTGCCTGAGCCCGCGGGTTCGAGACCCGCCTGGGCAGCGAGACCTTATCTCTACAATAAATCAAAAAATCAGCCAGGCGTGGTAGTGCATGCCTGTAATTCCGGCTACTTGGAAGGCTGAGGCGGAAGGATCGCCGGAGCCCAGCAGGTCGAGGCTGCGGTGGCCGGCAGTGGCCACTGCACTCCAGTTTGGGCGACAGAGTGAGACTCCAACTCAAAAATAAAATAAAATATAATAAAATAAAATCAACCTACAGATATTTAATTAGTCTGTATAATTTAGTTTGATAAAATGTGCAGAGCACTAAGGAAGTACAATGTATAAGTTACAAAGAATGACAATTAAAATAAATGCTCAGGCTGGGCTCGGTGGCTCAAGCCTGTAATCCCAGCACTTTGGGAGGCCGAGGCAAGTGGATTGCCTGAGCCTGTGGGTTCAAGACCAGTCCAGGCAACTTGGCAAGAACTCATCTCTACAATAAATTAGCTGGGAATGATAGCGCATGCCTTAAGTTGGAAGGCTGAAGCAGAAGAATCACTGGAGCCCATCAGGTCAACACTGGGGTAGCTGTGAGTGTGCCACTGCCCTTCTGCCTGGGAGACAAAGTGAAACTACAACTCAAAAAAAAAAAAAAAAAATGCCCAGTGAATTCAGGTACATCTAGTAGTGTCAACATTTTCCTAAAAGAATGCTCATTCTTAATACCCAAACTTCAGAGTACATATATATCTCTTATTATAATAATTTTTCCTGTTGTATACATAGGAAAAATGCATACATCTATCATCAAAACTCAGTACTACACTGAAAACAAAACAACACAGCAAGGTCTCTGGTTACATGCCACTACAACTGGTAAAACATGAAAGGCCGTGATATGCACACAGAGGAACTGTTTCTTAACCACCATTTTAATTACTGGCGATCAGGAAATAATGTTTTGAGCATCTTACGTTCTTATGTGATAGTTTGTTATTCAAAGGCATCTCACTGTGTTTATGTCACTTTTTAGGGCTGGGCCCAGTGCAGAGGTGTTTACAACTACTTGATCAGTCAGTTACAGATCTCTTTGCTCCTTCTCTGCTCTTGCTGCTTCACTTGTCTAGTCCTTCAAATAAACAAATAACTTTTAAAAGAATCTGGGCCGGGCTTAGTGGCTCAGCCTATAATCTCAGCACTTTGGGAGGCTGAGGCGAGCGGATTGCCTGAGTCCAAGGGTTCAAGACCTGCCTGGGCAACTTGGCGAGACCTTGTCTCTACAATAAATAAAAAAAACTAGCCGGGCATGGTAGCGCACGCCTGTAGTTCCAGCTACTTGGAAGGCTGAGGTGGAAGGATCATGGGAGCCTACCAGGTTGAGGCTGCGGTGGCCGAGAGCGTGCCACTGCACTCCAGTCTGGGCAACAGAGTGAGATTCCAATTCAAGAAAAAAAAAGGAATCTGGATGGGAGATTATGGTTGGTTATCTACCATAATTATAATTTTTCTATTTGATCATGGAGTAATAGGCTCTCAGAGTTTTCATGTAGAATCTCTGCTTTTAGGAATGGTTTGCTAAAGTTAAACAAATGATACCCGTATTTAGATTATTTCTGGTTGCCAGCACCATGGAGAAAATAAGCCAAAATGCAAGTTAAATAGGATGGTGACAACCATCACAAGGTAGTACATTATAACTGCCAAAAGGGTGTGTGCAGACAATGCAGGGCAAGAGCTCAGAGGATCGCAGTGGCTCAGGTTAAGATGAGGATGGAAGTGGGCCAGGATTGCAGGGTGGGGTAGGGGGAGGTCAGGCTAGGCTGAGGATCACAGTGGGTCAGGCTAGGCTGAGGAGTGCACCTTCAAAAGGAAGGAGAGCCAAACTGCATGGATTTAGCACCACCTGCTCCCTTTGCTCCACTGGAGGTTGGAGGGTGCCAGGGCCCTGCACAGCAGTGCATGGAATACTAACTTTTTCCTGCTTCCTCTGTATACTGGACTCAGGCAGTACACTGTGTCTCTATGCAAATATGGACATTTAGCATTTACCAACACATATCTGTGTACTTTCTCTTGATTAAAAAAAAAGAAAAAAGCCAGCCAGGCACGGTGGCTCAAGCCTGTAATCCCAGCACTTTGTGAGGCCGAGGTAAGGGGACTGCCTGAGCACCCGGGTTCGAGACCAGCCCAGGCAACTTGGCAAGACCTCATCTCTACAATAAATAAGAATTAGGGCATGATAGCATGCGCCTGTAGTTCTGGCAGTACTTGGAAGGCTGAGGCAGAAGGATTGCTGGAGTTCAGCAGGTCAACGCTGGTGTGACCGTGAGCGTGCCACTGCACTCTTGCCTGGGAGACAGAGTGAGACTACAACTCAAAAAACAAAAACAAAAACAAAAAACGAAACAAAAAACCAAAAATCAAGTTAAGGAAAGTCAGCAAAGGGTGGGTTTGAGAGGTTTGGGTGGGTTAAGTGGGCATTTTGACAATGTGACTCCTTTTCGGCATGTTTAATTATGAGGTTTAATGGACATCCCCATTGTTTAAGATGACACTTCTAACCCTTTGCACCAGGAGACATCTTGCAGATAAACTGCCAGCAACTAGGCCCCACTTTTTAACTAAATAGTGAAAAACAAAGCACTTCATATTAAACAGTACAATGTTGGAACCAATTATTTTGTTGCAAAAATATTTGACTTATAATGGAACTTTTGGACATTGAGGAACTTATTTATGACAAAAAAATCAAAAATTTATATTTCATATTTTTCTTTTTTTCGAGAAAGAAGGATATATATATTTATTTATTTATTATTTTTATTTTTTTTTTTGAGTTGGAGTCTCACTCTGTCACCCAGATTGGAGTACAGTGGCCGCTTCCGGCCACTGCAGCCTCAACCTGCTGGGCACCGGTGATCCTTCTGCTTCAGCAGAAGGATTTTTTTTGATTTATTGTAATTTTTAAAAATTTATTGTAGAGATGAGGTCTCGCCTAGTTGCCCGGGCTCAGGCAATCCACTCACCTCGGCCTCCCCAAGCAAGGGATTATCACAGGCTGAGCCACGAGCCCAGCTAAGAAGGATTTATTGAAAGGACAAAAAAGTTCTCACAGTGGGAGGAGACCTGAGGAAGTTGTCCCTCATATTTTTCTAACACGGTATCATAGAAAACAGTCACTAACATGCATTGCAGGTTCACTGGTGATACATGTTGGGCAACAGTAATTTGTTTGATGTCTCCCATCTGGTGTTTTTCTATTCAAGCAGACAAGGCAGTCTCATCTTCTTCCTCCCAGATTAATAATATGTAATTTATTATCCAGTCTCATATCTCAGTATACATTCCATCTCTTTATTTGCTTTTTCATGCAATTTGAATGAAAAACGTTAAGGAAACATACATTTTTGAAAAATTTGCACTTGCGTAAGTTTGTCCTATATAATCACCAGCAATCTCTTTATGTCTCCTGAGAGGGGACATCCGAGTGCAATGGATTAAAATAAATTCTCTCCTAATGGTGACCCGAGTCCCTTGACTAGATGGGAGAATTGGCAGAACCTTCAGGATCTTACTTGGACTTGAATTCTCTACTGCAAATTTGCTCCTGTTTATTTCTAAATTTTCTTTTTGATTCATTGTAAAAGAAAGTGATCAGTTTTAAATGTTAAAAGTGTGCAAGTTGCCGGGCTCAGTGGCTTAGCCTGTAATCTCGCACTTTGGGAGGCTGAGGTGAGTGGATTGCCTGAGCCCACGGGTTCGAGATCCGGCCGGGCAACTTGGCGAGACCTCATCTCTACAATAAATCAAAAAATTAGCCGGGTGTGGTAGCGCGTGCCTGTAGTTCCAGCTACTTGGAAGGCTGTGGCGGAAGGATCGCTGGAGCCCAGGAGGTCGAGGCTGTGGTGGCCGGGAGTGTGGCACTGCACTCCAATCTGGGCGACAGAGTGAGACTCCAATTCAAAACAAAACAAACAAAAAAAGTGTGCAAGTTGCCATATTACAATAAAACTAAATGTGTATACACACACAAGAAAAGGAAAGAGAGTATGGGGGGTCTGGGAGGAGGGGTAGAGAAGAAAGTCTGGGAGATGGAAACACATGGCCTTTCACTTGACAGTAAACAGAGTCATTAAAAAATATGTAGGTATCCAAGGTGCAAGAAACGTAAAGTGGAAGATAAAACCAGAACACAGGCTGGCCTTAGAAGGGACTAACAGTGGCAGGTACATCAGGTTTTAGGAGGGACACTCAGTCACTTCCTTAGCAACGTTCTATTTTGAGACCATAGTCTACAAATTGTTTCCATGACAAAGCTACAATTGTTAACATAAATGAAAGCAGGTAAGAGACCCGGTGACCCAACTGTGAGACAGCTGTGACATATCAGCCACGTATAAGAAGCATTTGGAGAGGTGGAGAGGAAAATTACACATGGGACCTTTCACCCAGGAAAACCTGTCCTCCTGGCTAGGTGAACATCTGTCCCCATTTGTCTGAGGTCTTCTTGGTTTACACCTGTAGTTCTGGTGTCACTGTTCACCGCAAACACTGCCTGCTCCCTGTACTCTAAAAAATGTTCCAGTTTGGAGGCCAAAGCACATGGTTACTCTACCTAGAAACCATGAAAAATAAAACCCCCAATTCCCTATCAGCATGGCACCTGAGTGGTTAAACTGTCTGTCTGTTGACAAGCGGCACTGAGCTCTCGGTACAAACGTCCATCCAGCCATCCAGCTGCCCATGTGTACATCCATTCATTTACCAACCCATCATTTAATGAGGGTCTCCTTGCCCTAAGCCTGTACTGGAGGTAAAAGATGAGCAACTACCTCCCAGTCCTTAAGGGGCTCACAATAGGGAAGGACACAAACGACTCACATATGACATAAGAGAATCATGAAGGGTTACGAAAATCCAGGGGAAAGAATGAATACTCCCTCTTTCCAAGTCAGGAAAGGCTTCGTGGAGAATGTATTCCGGTGCCCTTTTAAAGAAAACTTTACCACAGGAACATTGAAGGGAAAGTGTTCCAGGCAGAGGAAAGAGGAAAGACCTTGTCACATGAAAGTAACACCCTATCCAGGAAACAGAGTCCTGGGAAGCTGCAATGTCAGGTAAAGGGAGGAACAGAAGAGGAAGGACTCCTAGTCAAGGAGGCTTGTAAGAATCTGGGCCAGATTCATGCCATGAAGGAGTCTGGGTTTCAGCCTGCACATAAAAGGAAGACAGGTGAGATTCTACTCCCGCCTAAGGGTCATCCTTTGGAAGATCAGGCAGTATGTTTTCAAAGAGGCGTCATAAACATGCAGGAAACAGAAGACTTTTATGTAACACAGGCTGAAACAAAGTATGAGCAGCAACTGAATTAATTTTCAACAACAAAACAAATCTAATGGATATTTAATTTTTCTTTCAACTTGGGAGTACCCTTGTCCTTTCCCCAAATCACAAATTAACAGCACTTAAATGGCAATACTGAACATTGCTTGAGGGAAGCAGACATTCAGAAATCTTGTTACCCTACTTGCTAAGAGTATCAAAATTTCCCCCCAACTTGTTGAAACATAATATCCACTCTATCCTCTTTCCAAGTAAACTACTCCCAATCTGAAGGAAGGGAAAACTGTCATTTGTATCTTAGTGGAAAGAACACTGCCATCAACTGACTCTCTATGAGGTTTTGGCACATAATTTGCCAGAATGTTAATTAATTCTGAATCAAACCACACTTCCACTACTTATTTCTCTTAAGACTCTATCTGATTCTATTTGTAATCCTGCATTTCAGAATTTACTACCTCCTTGTTCTGGGCACTCCACGAGAACACAGTAAATATGTGCAGAAAAGGATAAGTGATTTAGCTTTGTTTAGCTTTGTTTAAATAAATAGCTTTATTTAGCAATAGCTCCTCTTGGGGGGAAAAGCTGGCCTGCAGTAAATGACATTATCCCCCCCCCCCCACTACTGTTAAGAGTATGCTCACTGCAGAACTCAAGAGATCCACAGACTCTCTGGCCTGTTGCTAGAGCTGCTGGGGTTTCCCAGAGTAGAACGCTGCTCCAGTGTGGATTTTAGCTGCTATCTGTTCAGGCCCAAGATGCCTTCCTCCACCCCACATTCCAGTGGTTAAACGTTGGTGGCAGATGAGGAAGGCACTATGGTGGCACCCCCAAAATACTTGATTGTACCTAGTGTTCAGGCTCTCACTGTGACTTTACAAAAAGGAAGAAAAGACAGAAACCCAAGTGAGCTAGAGATGCATAAATGCTGAGCGAGAAGATGCACTGCTGGACATTACTATGAGAGAGAAGGTTAGCAGAGTCTCCATTTGACAATTCACACATATCCTATTTATCTCAGGAAGAGAAAAACCATAGAGCTATTCTTGGGATGCTCACTTAAGATGAAAATGAATGTCTACTATCCATTTTACTTTAAGATACAATTTATACACAGATTTAGCCGGGGGTAAAAACCCACATTTCTTCGAGAGGTGGCAAGTATGTCATTCTAATCTCCCTGAATCTTCTTCAATCTCTCTCTCTCTCTTCTTTTTTTTTTTTTGAGTCGGGGTCTTACTCTGTCACTTAGACTGGAGTGCAGTGGCATGAATCACGGTTCACAGGAGCCTTGAACGCCTGGGGTCAAGTAATCCTCCCACCGCAGCCTCCCAAAGTGCTGGGATTACAGCCATGAGCCACTGTGCCCAGTTATCTTCTCCAATTTCTTTACTGTCCCACTCATGACAAGGGTACTGTATATTCCGAAGCTGACACCTTCCGAATTCCTCATAGTAGAGGTCTTGGCTAGCATAGTGATAACGGAATGAAATGACTGTTCTACAGCTGGCTGTAAAACAAAAGACTGCTATAAATAAATCCCTGATGCCTGAAAAGTAATTCGTTCAACAAAGGAAAAACAGACAAGACAGGCAACATGGTGTTCTACTCTTTAATAAAATGCTTGTTTTTATTTACTTATTTATAAAGATGTCAGGGAAGACTTTATTTAAGGGACACCACAGCAACAGGCACAGGGACCACAGCAACGGGGCTAGCAATGCTAGCCTCAATAAAAATAACGGAAGAACCAGTGAGGGGGAGAGAAGAGGAGAGAGACACCCCTACATCATCCCTGTACTCCTGATACAGACACTGGAAATTAACTTAAAAACTGATGCCTGTAGTACCAGTTACTGCAGAGGATGGGGCAGGAGGAATGCTTGAGTCCACAAGGTTGAGGCTGCAGTGAGCTATGATTGCGTGAGAAAAACCTGAGCTCAGCCTGGTAAGAGTCCCGTTAAAAACAAAATAAAACCAAGTAGCCTCTGTTTCTGGAGGTCCTAATTAGTAGTTTCCAAAAAACAGTACCCAAATTAGCAGAGATTCACTGACTACCTGAAGCATAAAGATAAGCAGGTGCCAAGAAAGAATGCTTTGCCCCAGCAAATGGAGAAAGTGAAGCAATCTGACAGTAAATGCTAGCAAGGAGGGCTTCTAGTATTTGCCAACAATTTCCAACACAATCAGAAACAATAACAAAAAAGCCCATCTCTGAATTCTTCCCATTCATCAGAGAAGCAAAAGCAAAGCGGCTGGAAGGGATGGAGTCTGCTAGTTGGACATAGCTGCACTGCAACAGGTCACAAGGCCCATGCCACTTAAGGCACTGACCATTATGCCATGAGGACAGATGTCACACAAACACCAGCCAGTGGTTACCAGGCCAAAGGGCCCAGGGAGGCCACGTGCGGAGTGAGTCCACTTCCACCCAGTATCGGGAGAAAAAGAGGGAAGCCAAGCAGATTCCGGAGAAGCAAGACCTGGTACCGGGAGCTTCATCAAGACACACCGGTGGCGTGGCGCGGATTCTGTCGTGGTCACCACCCGCCAGAGGGCCGGCGAGGGGGACGCTACCTTAGTCCTCTTCAGGGGGAAAAAGGTGACTTCATTTGGGTCAGGACGAACATTCATCACGTCAACTGTCATGCAGTTATCGTGTCACACACACCGGAGAGCATGACGTACGACGCAAGCCTGACTTCACAGAAGTTATGGAGCCTGAAACACTACAAAAACAGAATCGCTCTTACACGATTAAACAACATGGAGCCAGGCGGCAGAGGAGGCGTGGAGACCGGGAACGGGAGCGACCGTTCGCGGGGAGGGGACAGTGGCGGCAAGCTGGCGGATGCGCTGGGGATCACGGAGCTCGCTCCCCAAAGCGAGGACTTCGCGGCGATGAGAAGCGGCCGGCGAGCAAAGTTTGGGAAACGCGCCTGACGAGACAGGCCGCACCGGGAGCGTGCGACGTGGCG